TTTTAATATATGTCATTATATTTATTTAACATAAAACAGCTGCTTCTCTGAACTTACAAAACAAAGCATGATGGGCCATCTCCCTCAGGCATTTGTCTCACATTAATAAAGTTCTGTCACCTGGCAGAGTTCACCCAGTTACTGTGATTTGTTTTAGGAGTTCCTGTTTTGCATCCATATTACATTTTAAATTTGTTGAATAAAATGATAGAAAAAGTAAGTCAATCTGCACTTATGATCAGAATTAATTAGCTGTCCTTTTGAAGTAATGAATAACTCTTACTGTCATTTCAATGGAAATATTAATAAAATCTGTTTATTCTGGTATTGCTTCTAAAAGAACAACAAAATGTCCACAAAGTTTAATCAGTAGAATTTATTGATGTGCTGAATTCAAACAAGAAAACTGAACTTAGTAAGCAGAAGTCTTGCATGACTGTTTTGTTTTGTATTTAAAATAATGCAAAAATAGATTAAATATAATAGAATTCAATGTGTGGTTGATTCATGTTTGCGTGTTTTCACAATATCGATGTTGGAAAATCAACAATAAAGACAAACTTTAGAGTCCTGTTCTTGGTTTTATGAATTACTGAAGTCATTTGTCCGAAAACACTGCCTGTAGAATGACTAAAATAACTTATTAATTAATTAATATTGCATTCATCCAATAGAGCGAATGTGAGCATCTGTACTGATTCCATGTAAAGTCAGAACTCAGTCTGAATCGGTTTCGTTGGCATGGATACAGAACTGATTCAGGTTATCATTTTTCTTTTTTTATTTTCAAAGGGGCAGTATTATGTAAAATGCAAAATAGCCTTTTTTGAGATATACTTTATTTCTTCATCAAAATCCTACCTGCAGTTTTGCTTTCATGTTTAAAATCCTTTAATCTCCATGGCACCATTCAGCTGTGCAAAACACCTGGGTGGGCCTAGCTCCGCCTTTGAGGATGAAGCTCCTCCTCTGCGCTGCAGTTACGCTGCCCTCTGCTCCTCCCCCACTCAGCTCCTTCAGACTAGCTGGCAGCAATTAGCCAACACCTGGTAGAACTGCTGAGCTCATTATAGGAGCTTCTTCTCAGTGCTGGTAAAAACATTGCTAAAAGGTTAATGGAGGAGCCATGTTGTGATTACTTCCTGAGGGCGGAGTTTTCAGAAACAGCAGGAGACAGAGGCCTAATTTTCATTAAAAAATATTTTTAAAGTCATATTTGATGTTTATCGCATTTTTAGAACAACTAAAAATTAAGTTACTTAATTGTGCTATAAAATAGCACCTTAAAATAAATAATACTGTCCCTTTAAGCGTTTCATCCATCCAGTTGTTGAAGGTCACCATGCCTCAGTATTTCTGCTTCTATGTGTAAGTTGATCCAGTCCTTAGCGTCTCTAACCCATTAAACTTTGTCTGTTGATCTTCTACCAGATTTGCTGCTTGAAAGGACAGAAGGGCTTGGTCAGCCAGCCCAGCTTTGATGGCATCCACATCGTCAATCACTACATGGGGGTCAGCGAGTCTTACCAGTCCTCCGATGACGACGGAGACAAGGACCCCGACCTGCAGAGCCTCCAGCCGAGGAGTGGCGGCCGCATCAGGCTGCGGGCCAAGCTGGAGGACTCGGACAGCGACGAGGAGGACGGTGACGCCCTGCGGCTCTCTGTGCCTCAGAGCAAGTCCACCACGGTGTGAGCGCAGGGCCCGGATCCAGAGTTCTGAATTTCAAAAAGCAAATCCGTCATTTCATATCTTATGACTCATGCCACTTTTTTTTTTTTTTTTTTTTTTGTTCCTGGGCACCACTGACAAAGCCAGGGACAATCTGAACCTCAGCAGAGAATCAAATGGAATCAAACTCTACAAGGTGGAGGGTAGGGGCACTGGGGGTCGCCCTCCTGTAGGTACAACACAGAAAGACAGACTGTGCAAACATTTATTATTAACTCCACACTTCATACAGTATGCTTTTATATTTTTAAAGGGTTTTATAAACAACTTACGTTGAAGCTGTGTCTACCCATCACGCAGGCCCAGAACTCTACTTGTGTGTGGGGGTGTGTGTGTGTGTGTGTGGGTGGGTGGGTTTGATGGTGTTGGTCAGAAGCTGGTATCAAAGCTGCTTCTATCAGCCAGCACTGACCCAATCAAGGCCTTACACTCATGTTCTTCACCAGGCGCTCAACATACCATATGTACATATATGTAAATGTGTTTTTTTTTTTTCCTTATTCATTTTGAACTTGAAAACCATGTTTAATATTGCATATCTGATGTTTAGATATGTTGTACAAATAATAAGGGACAATATATATATATGTGTGTGTGTGTATAATATTTTGTATGTATATGATTTGAGGAAACAGAAGTTGGGTTCTTGTCAGAGGGTGGCTCAGTCATCACATCGTTACGTGGGTTAGTATTCCTCCATGGCTGACACCACGAGGCACGATGCCCTTCTACGTTTGAGTCAAATCTGGCATGTGATGATGTAAGACGTTTGCACAGAAACGGAGGAGAAGAAGTGATGCTTTGGGCTGCCCGCCCGCCGCCCAAAGCCAGCAGCTGGATTTGGGAACCAGACTGGACTTCAGGCCGATCAGATCCCAACGTCCGGCCTGCTTCACCAGAACCTCCCGCTGATTGGTTGATTTTTACCGGGGAACACATCGTGGCACTTTGCAGTGTAAGAACACATGGCAACACTATGAAGCACTCTAAGATTGTTGTACTGGTGAGAGAAAGAAATGATTTCATAATAAAAGTTTCATAAACTCTGCGCTCTGGTGTGTGTTTTAATGGCAGCGGTAGATGTTTTTTTTTTATTATTTTAATCTTCAGCTGACTGATCACACTTTTTTTTTTCTCTGAAACTCAAAGCTTCTTTTCCTCTCTAGACTCTCTTCTTTCAGGAAGTGATTTTGTCGCGGTTTCCAAAAGCCGAGTCTCGGATTCTCGTTTTTTTTTTTTTTTTTATGCACAAAACCACATTTTGAGAGCAGCTCTCCTCAGGCACCGAGACATAACCCACATCTGGATGTTTATTCATGTCATTTGTCTAAATGTTGCATTGTCCTTGAATCGTTTGATCATTTCAAAATATGAAGAGAAACTCCAGGTTGTTGCTGCAGCGGCGGCTCTGAGCGGAAACCAGTTCATGACTCCTTCCATTCATTTACATGAATTCACGTTTTCATTTAGAACTGAACATTGAAACAGAAATCAGTCTCCTGAATGAGTTTTTTTTTTCTTCTTGCGGTTGATTCTTGTCTTGACGTTTAACTAAAGCGCATTAAAATCGCAGAGCGCGCAGAGTGGGAGGACATGAATCATTAGATTTTTTTGTCACATTTAAGAGTTTTGACAGCTGAATCGAAAGATGAACAGATTTGAAATTGGACATAAACCACAACGAACATAAATGTTTAGCAGGGGAGAAAATTCGCGCTATCTAAAATAATTATGATTTGTATACTTGCGTGCTGATGTGGATTTTACTGCATTAGATTTGTTTTATTTCATTTTCAGAAGCAAACGGTTTGATTTTCTAAAAGGGAGACAAATGGACAAATATGGCTCCGACTCAGGGCCAGAAAAAAAACAAAAAAAAAAAAAACAACAACATTGTAGTGTTTCCTCTCAGGAGTAAAAACTGAACAAAAATGACATCAGTGCAGAAAAACAGATGTGCAGCAGAGATGATTTCTAAAAATCAGTAAAAACAGATTCAGCTGAATTTTACTGGACATGTTCAAAGAATGACGTCATGTTGACATGGAGTCTGAAGTTTGTTATTAACACAATATCGTATTTATGAAAACACGTTAAAAAAAACATGCAGAGTTTTCCAGTTTGTTTGAATGGGGTGGAAACGCAGCAGGCTGTTCAAAGCGCTGCGCTGCTTCTTTCTGTCTGTGCGGAAAACAGTAATGAACTGGCGCAGAACGGAGCGCCATTTACCCAAGAAGCTGCGCAGATCTTGATAGATTCTGTTTTGAATGTTTGATTTGGTGTCCTGTCCCTATCTTGGCACCTTCACTTGCACAAGTTTGTGCGGCGCTCCTATCGGCCCCTGCCTGCGGGGGCCCCTGCCTGCAGTATTCACAGCTGTCGAACTTTTTTAGGTTTTGTAAACTTCAATTTTTTTCAATATTTGGTACGATTGATCAACAAAATGAAGCACATTTGCAAAAGGAGGAAAGTTTGGTTCGGTTTCCTGTCCTTCGTTTTGTTGGTAAAGTCGATCACCGTAAACGAGAGAAGCCCTGCTTTCTTTCTCTCTTTCTTCATTTAGTTATTATTTTCTTATTTCTTATGATTTAATCCGTGTGATTAAATGTTTTTCTTCTTCCACCATCACCTCCAGCCTCGCGTCTGAAAGTCTGGCTCAGTCCTGATTTGCTAATCTGTGCGTCATGATGTGTTCTGCGCAAACAGCCGCAGTGCAACTTGAAACTGCGTCATATAACAGACAGCTGATCAGCAGAGCGGTACTATGGCGCTCTTCACACTCCGATAAGGTTTCTCAAATCGTCTCGCGCACTGTGTGTCATTTACATGCGTTATCGTGGAGGAAAAATGAGATTTTTTCCCCACCTCTTTATGTTCTAATTAGAGCTCCACGTCGCGGGGGGCGCCTCCGCGTTTCCTGTGGCCCCTGCTGCCTCCACCTCTCTCCCGCTTCTCTGACTGACTGAGAGGCTGGTGAAGAGCGGCATCGCTCCTCCGGCTCTGATGGACTGATCCATGGACCCGGCGGCGACTGAACTAACCTGAACAAAAAAACAGAAAAACAGCAAAAAAGAAGTTTTAACTTTTCAATCCAGTCATCGTCATCACCCTCTGCTCTTTCAGGACTGTTCACCGTCACGAAAGCGGGACAGAAAGTCTCAGTGCAAACTGAGGTGAGTGGAAAAAGAAGCGGAAGAGACGTGACAAGAGCGCGGGGCCCCCCGCTGCGGCTCTCTGCGGTTGACCTGCCGCCGCTCAGCGGGCGGTCAGCCTCGGTGACACCTGTCCGAGCCGACACCTGGCAGACGGGATGGACGCCTGCGCGCATGCTCTGTTGTCATGTGGAAATCTGTTAAAACGCTCGGGATGTCAGCGGCTCAGATCAAATCTGTAAACAGGACGCGAGCCGCCGGGTCTCCTCCTCCTGCTCAGCAGCTGGATCCCCGTCATTAACCATCGCTGTCTTCTTCCTCTCCATCACCCCCTGCACACACACACACCACAACACACACACACACACACACACACACCTAAACACACTCACTCTAAAGATGCCCCGCTCCTTCCTGGTGAAGAGTAAGAAGGCGCACAGCTACCACCAACCGCGGACTTTGGAAGATGATTACAGCAGACTGGACTCGATACTGGCGAACATCTGTTCAGGTATGAAAACTACAGATTATTGGATCATAATGTAACTACAGTCAAACTGGACAGTTTGCTTTAAAACCAGCATCTACGTAAAGAATTGTGAGGATATTACTAAAACAAAAACAACAAACTGGAGCACAATAACAACAAGGTAAGATGCAGGAGCAAAACTTGAATGTGTTGGAATAGCATATATATATATATATATATATATATATATATATATATATATATATATATATATATATATATATATATATATATATATATATATATATATATATATATATATATATATATATAATTGGATTTGTTTCATAAAGGCCTTTGACATTCTGAGTTTTAAAAATGAGTAAAACAAAAAGTAAAACAATAAAACCTTATGAAAAGATTTTAAAATATAATAAAAATATGATTTAGTCGATTAATGTTACTGAAAGGACAAAGTGTTTAATTGTTCAGCTGATCAGGACTGGTTCTTGTTAAAGTGCTGTTGATCTCCAGATCGGGATCTGAAGCTTCAGCTTTGAACTGGATAAAAGCTTCTCTTCTCCACCTCAGATACCGATAAGCTCCAGGAGGAGGACGCCGACCTTTCGGCGGACAGCTACGGCCTCTCTCCGGCCTCCCACCCGGGCGAAGCTGCGGATTTCTCCCCCAGGTCTCCGCTGAGCTGCGCCGACAGTTTGTGCGCTCGATCCGCGGACTATGAGGACTTCTGGCGGCCTCCGTCCCCATCCGCGTCACCTGGTACTCACTCACACACACACACACACACACACACACACACACACACACACACACACACACACACACACACGTTTATAATGCTACCCATATTAAATCTTTGTACTGACTTCCATTCATTTGGTGGTTAAGGTTTTTCCCTAACCTGAACCATTACAAGTCTATATCTAACTAAAACTTTATTCATGTCTTAATTCTGACTCCGACCCTAAACAAGGGGGCCTACCACATTTCTTGGAACCTTCAGTGTTCAGAAGGTTCCTCAATATGTCAGACATTCTACTAAAAATCATAGCTTGACAAGTAACACATCCATTGAACTCATTATTGTTCCTAAAGAAAACAAGTGACAGGATTCTGCGCACACCTTAAACACACAGACTGCTGTCAACAGCGACACTTTAAAAATGTCTTTTATTTTATTTTTCACTTTAAAAATCACCATATGATGTTTTTTTATCGGGTAAAACATTGTGTGTGGGCTTATCAACGTTAATGCATAATAATAAGTTTTGATATAAATTCATGTCCAGAGTTTTCAGCAGCAGTGGCTTCTGTCCCTGTGGTCCTCTGGGGCCCTGCGGGGGCCCTGCTGGGCTCCCGTACGGTCACGCCACTGGTTTCATTCAAACTTCCCCTGTCATCCTCCAGTTGACTCCGAAAAATCGCTTTCTCCCCTGGTGGGTGAAACTCAGCCCTTCGCCGTCCCTTTCCGGCCGTACGCCTGGAGCAGCTACCCGGGGCCGGGGCCGGGGCCGGGCCCGGAGTTGGAGGTGCAGCGGCCCGTGGCGCAGCGGAGCCTCCACCCCGGCCTGGAGGTGGACACCAGCCCGGCGGTGATGGCGCTCTACGCGGATCGGAGCTGCCACCCGGCCGTGCTTGCAGAGCGGGCCCTGGCGGAGGAGCCTTACGGAGACTACCGGAGGCACGCTGCCGCGCTGCTGTTCTCTGAAACGGGCCTGCACGGGAAGGCGGCCGTCGGGAAGGCCCGGGCCGACCTGCTCTGCTCCAGCCTCATTCTGAACGGGGCGTACAAGTGTGTGAAGTGCGGGAAGGTGAGGCTCGTGGTGAAGCGCATTCAGAGGAAACCACGATCGACTCTTTTGCTGCCTTTTTCATCGTCATTTCTGTTGATCAGGTGTTCTCCACCCCGCACGGTCTGGAGGTCCACGTCCGCAGATCCCACAGCGGCACGAGGCCTTTTGCGTGCGACATTTGCGGCAAAACGTTCGGTCACGCCGTGAGCCTGGAGCAGCACAAAGCCGTGCACTCTCAGGTAGAACCCCGTGAAACCACATCCTGCAGCGTCAGGGTGGAAAAAACAAAACACATCAATCTCATTTTTTTTGTTTTTGTTTTTATTTCTTTTTCCGCGCCTTTCAGGAGAGAAGCTTCGACTGCAAAATTTGCGGCAAAAGCTTTAAGCGCTCCTCCACGCTATCCACGCATCTGCTCATCCACTCGGACACGCGGCCCTACCCGTGTCAGTACTGCGGGAAGAGGTTCCACCAGAAGTCCGACATGAAGAAACACACATTCATCCACACAGGTGAGTTTCAGCAAAGTGCGTCAAAACGCCCGGTTAGCGCCAATTCTGTTCACCCCGCTGATGTCGGTCAGCAGGAGCTTTAATTTTTTTGTTCCAGTTTATTTATTTACTTACTTTTTTTTCTCACAACTTGTAATTTGTTAAAACGATTGCTTCGTTACAGTATTTCAGTTTTGTTGCGCAGACAGTCGCAGCCTCCCAGCATTCCAACCTCTGGCAAAAATACGAAATAATTCAATTTACTGACGCACCTTCAACCCGACTTGATTTGGAATAAATAAATAAATTGACTGATTTTGCTTTTCTCTCTCTCTCCAGGCGAGAAGCCGCATAAATGCCAGGTTTGCGGGAAGGCGTTCAGCCAGAGCTCCAACCTGATCACGCACAGCAGGAAACACACCGGATACAAACCGTTCGGCTGCGACCTGTGCGGGAAAGGCTTCCAGAGGAAGGTGGACCTGCGGAGGCACAAAGAGACGCAGCACGGACTGAAGTGAGACAGGAAGGAAACAACCGGCTTTTCCCTTCCTTTTCTCAACACTTTCCTCCATTTTTAATGAACTGAAAATTCAAGACAATTTGGATCCAATCGACTTGGTATTTTCTGTCTCTTTTTTTTTTGTATTTTATTTTTCTTATAATTTGTATTATTTATAGGTGCGGTGAAAAAAACGCGAGCAACACTAATGACAGCATCGCTTTTTTTAAAAAAAAAATCTCCTTTCATTTCTTTTTTTTTTTAAAGCCAGAGATAAGCTGAGAGCTGTGGGGGGAAATGATAGAGGAAAATGGCAGATGTGTTCAGATAAAGCACGATTTAAATAACTCTGTTAAACGATAATAAACGCACCTGATAAAAATCTGCTCTTTCTGCAAAGACTGGAGGTGTTGTTTTCATCTGACAGAGATGAGGGCAAAACAGACTCTCTCTCTCTCTCTCTCTCTCTCTCTCTCTCTCTCTCTCTCTCTCTCTCTCTCTCTCTCTCTCTCTCTCTCTCTCTCTCTCTCTCTCTCTCTCTCTCTCCCTCTGCCAGCTGCTATTGTTCTGTCAGAAGAAATGCTGATTTTATGGTTAAAATGGACATCAATTAAATTGTATTTGAGGATTATTATCACCAGAAATTAAATTGACGAGACATAAAACATGTACAAAATAAATAACCCAGTCAGTTTGATCACAGTCTGCTTCAGTCTCATAGTCCAGTATATTACTGGCTTCTGTTAACTGAATCAGTTTATTTGTGCAGGACATTTACAGCAGTACATAATGAAAACATAAAAAATAAAATAAAAATCCTCATAAAGACATTTTGTTCAAATCATCATCACACATAACATATGTTGGTCAATGTTCCATTTTTTCATGGGTCACATCAGTTCTGACCAGCTGGGTTTTCACTTTGGACTTGAAGGAACTGCGTGTTTTGGCCATTTTGTGGCTTTCTGGAAGTTTGTTCCAGATCTGTGGAGCTTAGAAGCTGAATGCTGCTTCTCCATGTTTGGTTCTGGTTCTGGGGATGCAGACCAGAACCAGAACCAGAAGACCTGAGAGATCTGGAAGGTTAATGCAGCACCAGCAGATCTTTAAAGGTGCAGATTTATTATGACCAGAAGTTACTGAAGTCCAGCTGAAAAGCAAAAGTGTGATCTGACGCGGCGTGTGATGAAAGCGTTTCATGCTGTGATTGGGACTGAAGCCCAGAGGCTCCTGTTTGTTTTGACCACTGCAGCCTGGTGTTTGCACCTTCAACAGCCTGACTAGATCTAACTGTTAACCAAATACCTCTTACCCTTTCTTTCTTTCTGGGGGAGGGGAGGCTTGGCGACAGTGGGATTGTTTCCACAAAGCACACGCCAGATTTAATCTGGCACAATTGAAAGATTAGACAGCAAAACAAACAGAATGATTGCAATGATGTGTCTGTTGGAGCTAAAACACTCAGTAAGAAGTAGTAACATCCTGCATGGCTGACTGAGGCCGGTCGGCAGGATTAACCTGAAGCTTTTGATAGTAAACCTGAACCATTCTGGTGTATTTGGGACGTCAGTCTGTGAGGAAACTGTCCAGGTTTCAGCAGCCTGATGTGAACTGTCACCCTATGGTCAAAGGGAATATGCCAGGGTGTTTAGGAACAAAAACATAAACCCTGACCTCATCGTTGATGGAAGATGCTGGAACAGAGTAAAGTGAGTTTTTACATCACCAAAAAAAAACATCTTCTCGGTGGGGTGAACAAGCCTTCTGGCTAAAAGTTTGATGGCAAGATGAGCCAAAATGGAACTAACTGTTCAACCTCAACGACAAGAAGAACAACTAGAGGAGTCAAGCTGAGACTTTTAACCCTACATTCTTCCAACTAGTAAGCATGGTGGTGGCTACATCATGATGAGGGACTCCTTTGCATCAACATTTCCATGCAAAAAGTTGATGAAATAATGAAGACTACGGCCAAATTCTTTGACTTGACCTCAAAATGCTGACTAGACATTTGAAAGGTTGACACAAACAAACGCTCCGTAAACGTGGATGAAGTGGGCCAGCGTAAAGCTTCCAGAACCATCACAAACCTAATCGTGTTGTGCTTTAAAAATCAGCTTTTCGGACAGAAAGAGTGGTAAAAAAAATCCAGCCAGAATCATGTCAACGGGTAAGCAGGAGTTTGAGCCTGTTATGTTGAGAGAACATCAGAGACAAACTCAAACTTTTGCTTCCGGGTTTCGTTTTTAGACATGAACCCGGAAACAGAACCAATCTAATGCATGGTGAGTTCGACATTTGTTAGTAATCTAACATTCATACTGGTGGACCAACACCTCAGACTGTATGAAGCAGAGGGAAACCAAAGAGAGAGGCGTTGTCTTCCTTCCTCAACATTGATTGAAATCAGTGACTCACAAGGATTTCTTTTTTTAACGCCTCACTTCCTCCCCCTAAATCGTACAAGATTCAGGCCTGCGAAAATACTGAATATTTCAGCAGCCGAGTCGAGCCGACCAAAGGAGGATGGGAAAATGTCGGTGTCGGGGTTTGCTGGAGCTCAGAACATGCTGCTGCTCACATCATCATCGTCATCGATCAGCTCTGGATAAGACAGAACACTCAGCATTGGGTCTCAGCTGTAAGAAATGACAAACAGCTCAGACGAGCTCCAGGAAGTTCTGAAGGGGAGTTTCCAGGTTCGCCGTTCAGTGCCACTGGCCGGCCACACACGCTTTAAATAGGTGAGCCATGATGTCGACGAAAGGCAGGAAGAGCTGCTGAGACGTTTACCTCCTCTCATTACTCTGCTGTTGTTATGACTGTTTCTGCTTTCTCCCTCTGAAGACGGAGATCCTGCAGTGAAATCTCAGAGAAAACCCGTTTCAAGACAAATTCCTTAAACAAGCCATTAGCCTGACCAGATTTCCTCTGAGAGCATAGACAGGGGGGGATGTTCCTTCTTTAATGCCCCCTCCACCACTTCACCCTGCACCTCAAGGCATATCAAAAATGAATAGAGATGTCTGAATCGATGGGAGAGGCCGAGTAATCAGAACAGTGCAGTCTGAGGGGTTCGGATCCAAACACCCAGGAGTCACATCGTCCATGATCACACATGAAGCACAGAGAGACGTGAGGATGAACTTCTGACAGACACAGAACTGCAATTAGGAAGATCAGGGTCAGAGTTCTGGTGGGTTTGGATGATCTATTATTAATCTAGAATGAAACAGGAATGATAGAGGGGAGAGTTCATTTGTTCAATTTGATTCAGTTCAGCCCTTTATTAAACAAGGGGACATTTTTACAGGTTAAATTGAGTGAGTCTGTTGCAAACAGATGAAAATAAATGGTGACTAAAGCCTTTTCTAGAAAATACATTTAGCTCACTTTCGTAATGGTTTGTCATTATGTCACGCTCAGCTTTATCCAGCCATTTTTGCTTTAATTTCTGTGGAAGCCCATTTCTACAAAGAAGGAAAAATCATAAGCCCCATCAGGAAGTCAGTATTCCAACTTTCAAAGTCCTAATTATGAAATAAAAAGTCATAAATATGAAAGTCAAAGTAAAAATTGTGAAATACAAAGTTAATTTTGAGATCAAATTTTGAGATAATTTTTTCATCTTTCTATAATATTGTCATTCAAAGTAATAATTGAGTATCAGAAAGTTATAGTTTTGATTTTCTACATCATAATTATAAGATAAGTCATAATTTTCAGGTAGAAAGTATTAATTATGGGATTCAGTCTATTCTGAGATAAAAAGTCATAATTTTAATGATCTATACCATAATTAAGACATTCAAAGTAATAATTATGAGTTAGAAAATTATAGTTTCGGTTTTCTAAGTCACAATTTTGACTTCCTATGTCGTAACTATGAGAAAAAAGTTTATAATTTTGAGATAGAATATCATAATTATGAAATTCAAAGTCATGAGATGTTGCACTAAGCTTCCTGAGAAAAACAATATGGCTTTTTATCTCAAATTTATAATTGAAAGTGGAAATTATGACTTTTATTCTTGTAATAAGGTCAAAGCCCTTAAGTCAAATTATGACTTCCTTTTATCTTTTTTAATTCATGGCAGCAATGGGCTTCCATAAAGATCAATATCTCTCACCAGCATAAAATCCAGCCTTCAAAAAGCAAGTTTTCAGCTGCACCTGCCTGGTGAGGTCAAGTAAGACACTTCTTAAATCTGGTGTTTGTACATATTTCTGTTGTTTTTTGAGTACTGGGTCTTCAAAATCAGCGTGCTGTGGGGAAAAAGGAAACGAAAAAAAAACATTGATGTGGATCAATAAATAAATGAATTAAATTGGGCTCCACAGCACCGGGTCAGTCCCTGCAAGATGTAAGAGAAAAAGGTTCTCCATCACCAGCTCGATTCCTGTGCCTCTGGTGATGTCATCAACCAAACCAAACAAAATTCAAAAGATTTGCTTGTATTTTTTTCCAGTGCACTTTTTAAAAAAAACGTCATTCCCCTGAAGACCCACTGGGCTCTACAAAACCCAACTATGTTTTCATTCATGTTTTGTTTTAGTACTGAAAACTTCAAAAATAAAAATGATTTCTTTAAAACAACACCTTAAAAAGCTACTATTAGATATTTTTTTTTCTTATAAATTTACAGTGGAGCAAAAAAAAAAAAAAAAAAAAACACAGACAAATACGTCCTTGATTTAAAAAAAAAAGGAAAAGAAAAGATGAGTCCCAGGCAGCTGACAAGTGTTGATGTTGATACTTAGAAAACAACTTAGTGATTGATGTTCTTATTGTGAGTAAATGTGATTATTTCCCCTGAGGGTGAACACGCCTGCTCTGTGTACTGTAATAATAAAGCCGTATTTGCTCTCATGCTCCGTTCAGCAGATTCCACACAGGTCTGACAGGCTCCAGATTGAGATCAGCCCCACAGAGGAGCAGGATTACTGACAGAGAGCCTCAGAGCAGCAGCACTGATTAATGACAGAGACAGATGAGGCAGCAGATAGACAACCGAACCGTTTTTACAGTCTTTGTTTATGTTTTCTGTAGGAAAAAGTTGCTGCATCAAGCAGACTTTTTTCTTTTCTTTCTGTTTGCCTGCCTGTAGCGTCCCCCCTACCTGTCCCTCCCCCTGCAGGTTGGTTGACACGCCAACCGAGCTGAGACACAAGAGCAGGAGCAGGAGCCTGGACGCTCATATAGGACACAACGGCTCTTTTGTTGCGCGGCCTTATTCATTATTCACCTGATCTGAAAAACAGACTGCAAACCAACTGCACAGCTGTCATCAAGCAACAAGGCACAGGCACAAATTATTCATGACGCAGCAAAGAAACGGCAGCAGGATGAGAGAGAGAGGAAAATAAAGACAAGAGACATTTGCGAGGCGCGAGACAGGAGGGAGTCCAGCACCACTTTGGGCTCTGCTGCCGGAAAATGACTGAATGTTGGAGGATTTTTATTTTTCCTCAACTTAAAGCACATACAGTAAAACCGTCCCACCCCACAAAGTCACAGAAAACAACTTTTCCACGAAGATTTGAACCAAGCAAAAAGGACAGACATATTTGTTCCACAGGCCTTTTGAAACTCTTCATTGTCATTGAACATCATCATTTTATTACGTTACAAACAAGAGCAAAGATTTACTGTCTGAGGTGGAAGTGGACCATAAAGCACCTGTAACGACAA